TAGCAGGTGACCGTTATCGAAGCATTTTTGATACGTCCTTTTCGAGGTGTGGTAGCAATACCTCGGCTGAATAAGTGGCTGAACGCTGGCTTTCGTAGCCAAGAGAAGATAGAACACGGCGAAACGACGCGACGCGCGAAATTCCAAAGTGGCCAACGATTATGAGAAAGAATTCGATCCGGACAGGGTCGGGCGAAGGGTAACGCGAGGAATAGGAGGCGACGTAGACGGTGAATACCGGACCCGAGGAAAAGGTGGAGACGCGTCGAGGAAGAGCCAGAGCAAGAGGGGGTTGGTGTCCGTAAGGAAAAGGAGAAAAAGAGACCGCGTACGTGAACGCGCGGGAGGGTGATATACGCGGTGGCCGGGTGAGAGAGTAAGAGAAGAATGGAAGAAAGAGCGAAGGAGAGCACGGAAGGTAGAGGAGGCGAGGAAGGACGTAAAACAAAGTAACGACGAAATGCACTTCCCCCTTTACGCCGTCCCTGGCGCTCGCCCGGAGGGAAACGTCGAACGAAACGTTAAAAACTGGGAAGAGGAATGAGAGCGCGGGGGTGCTAGGTGGTGGCTCGTCGGTCGGTAGGGTCGGTGGGCCCTGTGGAGGCGCAAGGAGGCGGAGGGTTTGAGGGTGGGTTTGCTGTGGCAGGCGGGCCACCCTGGAAGGGTGCCGGGAGGTTATGACAGCCGAGGTATTGAGCGGATCCTTCGTTAAAAAAACGAGAAGCACCGTGCTGAGGCGCGTGGAACAGAGACGGCAAGGGAACGAGAGAGCGAGAGGCCAAGAGGGAGAAACCGAAAGCGAGCGAGGGGCCGAGAGCGAGCGGGAAAGGAAGACGAAAAAGGAGGTGGTTCGCGGGAGATGGAGAAAGAAAGAGAGAGAGAGAGAGAGAGAGAGAGAGAGAGAGAGAGAGAGAGAGCGAGAGAGCGAGAGAGGAAGAGTGTGCACGACTGCCGCCGCCGTCGCCGCTGTTGCTGCTGCTAGAGGCGGTGGTGGAGGTGGTCCAAGGGGTGAGACCAAGTAACCGAATCCAACGCACCCTTGCCTCGCGTCCATTGCCTCCCCCTAACCCGGGAAAAAAACCGAGTGCACCATCTCTCCCACTTCTTCTCATCTTCGTCCTCATCCTCCTTCTCGACCACCCCTGACTGCTCTTCCCGAAGCAGTTCTACCCTTCCTCCTCTGTCGCGTCGCACTTCTATCTTCGTCGTTCGTCATCGACTTTCTTCCGCCTACGAAAAGTTTCTCGGATTTCGAATCACATTGTTGCACGACTCTCGTACGACACCTCCAGAAATCTTCCGCTTCGTCGGCGACCCTCTTCGATCGACGCATACGCCTCACGATTACTCGTCAACCGTTAAATCTAAGTACAACGATTCAGCGAGATCCTCTTCGAAATTTTCTCATTTTCACGGGTGAAAATTAAGTAAACTCGAGAGACCATTTTAATTCAACTCTTCGACACTCGTCGACCGCTCAATTTTACAAGCGAAACGCGATCACTCCGTACGATTACGAATGCAATTACTCTACTTGTATGTACGCGAGTCAATGAAAATGACAAACGTTATTTTAATCGACACGCTCGCTACGATCTACCCGTGCAACCTGAAAATTATTCAAATGGAAAACTAGTGCAGCCTTCGTCGAAAGCTTCGATCACTATTCTATTATTCTATTCATGGATTCCTACCCGAAATCCTAAATTCTCAATATTTCGACTCGCGTCGTACATAGTTCGGCTTCGAGGTACAAGTATCCTGTTCGAGTGCATCAATCCTCCGTTTCAAAATCGGTTCTAAACCCAAGGTGTTTACCCGTTGCCTATTAATTATAGAATCGTATCGATCGACCCTTCGTGACTTTCCACGAGCGTAAACCCGAACACGACCTAGATGACAATCTACCGGGCAGGAAATTCGCGATCGCAAAGCGAGCAAGCCGTTATCGAGAAATAGTTTTAAATCGCGATTACGTCGGTTCGAAATCGACAGCGTACTCGAGATAGCGCTAGACCAGTAGTCGGTGTGGTGCGGTAAGCGAAAGAAAAACATGGACGGAAAAAGCCGCGTAGATGTACTTAAGGAAGCGAAAAAGGAAAAAGGGTTTGGTCGAGGTAGAGGGGGGGGAGGGGGGGGGAGAGAAGGTGGGACAGGGGAATCGAGACCGTTTGTTCGTCGTCGGAAATGCAGGCTGGACACGGAAGGACGGAAAGCGAAGCGAGTGTGTGCGAAGCACTCCCCGGATTCGCGTAATGGGAAAATCGATTAGGAACCGAGCGAGGAAGGTGACCGTCCAAGATGTACGGATACACCACGGAGAGTTATTAGCTCTTCTTCTATATCCGGGGAATTAGCCGACTCGTTAAAAAAAAAAAACAGTTTTTTCAGAGAAGCTTGATCTTGGTTTACTCGAGTGCGTAACTGTTACTTCAGTTATCGCACTGGATCCATACATTCCCGATATAATTATTTCCATTCTTGACACAAGTCCTTAATTTTGGGCTTCTATAATCTAGAAGCTAATTTAGAAGCTTAATTCAGGTTATCGTAACACAACTCTGTACATTACATTTACGTTAGTCCCACCTTTAGTGCACGTCTGTTGGGGCCCGCTGGCCCCCTTCTAGCTCAGGTACCTCGGGATCGCTAAGCCCGTACCGTAGCTGGGATATTCGCATGCTACAGTCCCTGAGGGATTTTTTCAGAGAAGTTACGATTTAAACATTTTCTTGTCCCGGCGATAGATCGAACGGATCGAACAGTGGAACGAGACCGGAAACTCGAGAAATTTGAGACGAAAAGCTCCGGCGATCGAGAAATACTTAATACGGTAAAACTCAAGCATCTCAGAACTCCGGGCCACTCCAAGGTACTCTAAGAGTCTAGTCACTTTTCCCTCGCCCAGCATGCCTGCGAAGGTTCAATGACATCGGTAGAAGCTCCGGTACACGTACACAGAGGCGCGCACCGAGCCGAAAGTAGAACGCGTGGCGAAGACCGTTCGCTCTTTCTTTTCAACAATTGAAAACGGTTGACGAGAGAAGTACGAGGCGAGAGGTACGAAGGGGCTGCAGCTGGAATTCTTTCGAGTAATTATGTAATCACTGGATGGACAAATTGCTCGAGCACTCTCGATGATTTTTCTTATTTAAGAAACCAATTTGTCCAACTTCAGCACACCCCGAGCAAACCAACTCGTCTCCTAAATGTATCTTTTCTACTCTCAAGAGTAACACCAGCACTTTCATCCGCTATTCCAAATAAAATTTGACTACCTTTGGTAATTAGACTTTCGAGAAGGGGCATATGCACGCGTGTATCGGCAAACGTAGAACACGCAAAACCGAGAGCCCCCGTGCGTTTCGTCGATATTGTTCCCGTAGGCTTACCTACGACTAGTATGCAATCGATCTTTCAGCGTCAGCGGTATCAGCGTGTTAGCCCACGGCTAGCTTCTATTCACCGAGCGGCGTCCGTGCGCGAGCGGAATATCAACACCGAGAATCAAACGCTTTTAACGAACACCGCCGCCACCGCCGACGCCGCTCCGATTTTGATCACCTGCATCATACGTCGTATCAACGAAACACTATCGATCATGGTCCTCTTGACGAGTAGACGAAGATCGATCCGAACCGCGAACCGCTAGCCCCCGTTTACGCCGTTGAATTATCAGCCAACAGGGAGGCGTTACTTCGCGGAACCGTTGCATGTGGATCAATGCTAAACGCGAACGATACGTAATTCGTGTCGCACAAGACATCTACGATCCAGATAACCAAACTAGACGAAAAACACGTACGAAAGCGACGAAGGAAGGAAATCGCTCGAGAGGGAAAGTGTTTACTCGCGAGCCAGTCGAAACTCGGTTAAAGAATTTTTACGATAAATTTTCGTCCGTATGTCCGAGACATTTCCGTATGAAGATTTAAACGCGATTCCCGTGCTGTTGGTCCAGAGGTGTCAGCATACCGAGTTCTCTAGGGCGCTATTCCAGCCGTGTCGTGCGGTTTGCCACGTGCAGTCGAGTTGGCTCAAAAACTTTCTACCGAGTGTAGCAAACGGCGGGAAATGTAGAAGCTGGCGAGAAGACCGAGCGAAAGGGAGAACGGGATCGAGGTCAAAATAGGGGCAGAATTAGAAGATGTTTGATTTTCGACGGCCAAAGAGGAAGTTAGGTGAGCTATTAGAACGGGTATCTCGGCAACGAAGGCAATGGAACGAAGGAGTTTCGCGATGAACGCAAGAGAATCAAGGGGCTGGCATGGCAGGACAGTAGAGGAGAGGGCCGGAGGGTGACGGACGAGGGTGAGGAGGATGGGGAGGGTGGGTGTCGAGGATAGAGGCAACCGAGAAGGAAGGAGGTGAACGACGGACGAGAGGGGAATAGGGCAAGTAGAAAGGACGAGGGTGTTCGCGGGGGCGGATGAAAGGACGCTTACCAGCTACTACCTATTGATCGCCAATTCTTTTTCTCTTGTTGCATATTAGGCGCACTCTGCCTCCTCTCTCTTTCCGTCGGCGGTGCGCTCTCCCACCCCCTTGCCGACGTAGAGCGCGCGAATCCGCCCCTATAGCTACCTTCCGACCACCCTGCGCGCCTCTTCCTCTTCTTCATCCTCCTACCCTTCCTGCCCATATCGCGTCACCGCGAGAGAGTGCGAGCCGCCCCTACTACCTTCCTACCTACACCATCGGCCCTGACGTTCCCTTCTTACCGGCAATGTTTCATTTCGAGTAGCAGTACCCTTTCCGTTTCGGGGTGGGGCCGGCACCCTTTTCCCTTTACACGCAGGTGTCCCGTGCATTCTTTTGGCTATCATCCCGCGTGATTCGCGTAGCGGGCAGCGATCTTACGACGCGACGGTTCCGTGTTCGCGTCCACGTGACTCGACTCGACTCGACTCGAAATATAGGGGTCGCGTAGAGATCGACGATCGATGATCGCAGAGACGAACGATTCGTGATTAACGAGCATTTACCGTTTTTTGTTGCAGGTAACCGAGAGCAAATTTCGCTGGAAAGCAGCCATCGCGAGACGATCATCGTTGGGGCGATCGTCGAAGGCGAAATCGGCTCGTGGAAAAAGAGAGCAACGACGGAGGAAGTAAAAGCGAGGACTTGCCGTCGACAACAGACTGAATTCTCGCACCAGCCAAGGCACAAGCGTGCACGTGTGTTGTGCGTTCCCGTGCCCTAACCCTGTCTCAGCACGAGGGAATAGTCGTTTCTCCGCGGTCCCATCCCTACTCCGCCAGAATCGCCGCCGTTGCCGCCACCGTTATCGCCACCGCCATCGCCACCGTCACCGTCGCTGCCGTCGGCTCGCCATCCCTCCGACGCTCGCGAAGAAGCGCCGCCACAGCCGACGTAACGACGCCGGCGACAACGACGACGACGACAGCGACGACGACGACGACGACGACGACGACGAGGAGTAGGAGGGGGACGAGGACGAGAACGACAACGACGACCACCACGACGAGGACCAACGGGCCCCCGTTATCGGCCCTCGACCACTTTGGCGGTTTCTGGCGCACGCTACGTCACGCGTGACGTCGCTCCCGGCGCGCACGTTAAAGCAGCGGTGTGCACACACGCTACCTTTCCCTTCTCGCGCCAACACCGCGAACTCGACTCGCGTTCGAGGCGCGCGCTGAACAACAGAGAAACACCGGACGGAAGAACGACGAACGGAACCGAGAGGGGAAGATCGGAAAAGCCGGTCATCCAAAGGAAAAGAGAAGACCGCCGCCAGGAGGAAAAGGAGGAGGAGGCGGAGGACGACGACGACGACGACGAGAACGAGGACGACAACGGCGACGACGACGACGACGACGAGGACGGAGGAAGGCCGGTGGCGGAGGGGGTGGATATCCACGCGGGAACACGAGGCAGGCGCACCCGGCCGGCACGCACACACACATATTCTAAGATGTGATTTCAAAAATGGCGGATTGCCCCTATGCCCGCTGCATACAGGAACGCAGACACATCCGACGGGAGCTGCTGCGATGGACAAAGAATATGGTCTTCGTAGTCGGTGAGTTTAAACGCGATCAACGGTACATTTCTAGGCCGTACGTCGTACGTCATCTCCAGCTGAAGAATTCTCGCATGGGGAAAGTCATCGGTATAGGGCCCCGATTTCCGTATCGAATCTATGAATTTTCCCTTGTTCGACGATGTCTGTCGAGAAAGAATCCAAACTTCCATGAACCGAGTTTGAAGTTTTCTTCAACGATCTTTACCCGTCCACTAACCATCCCAAACTATACAAACTCGAAGTGTTGGCAACGTATGCAACAGTTGCGAAATACTTGTCTTAAATGCGATGGGAGAGTTGGACAGTGACCCCGAACGTTTTTAACGATAAATTTAATGTTTTCTTTGAACTTTGTACGATCGTCGAAGTTGTTATTCCGAAGCAAATCGAAGGAAGAAGGAATTTTCTTAGAATTCCGAGGGTACCATCTCGATGGTTGGGTATCGCTCTATGCATAATAATATCGTCGATTAGAATTTTTAATTGGAAGGAATGGAATTCATTTGCAAGTCGGTATACGGCCGCGTGGTAAATCCCCGAATGTGTCAGGGATATATGTATAGTTGCAAGCGTGCGACTCGACTGTCTGTGTGTCGATGCGGAGAGGGGAAGAGAGGGTGAGAGTGGACGGAAGGCGAGAGGATGAGGGACGGGAGGGAGATATAGGGGTCAAAGAGGGGAAGAGGTAAAGATAGAGAGGGAAGCAACGCCGGTGGTGAGACCTGTTGCGAACCGAAACGCCGAATCCTGGTTGACTGTGAGCCAGGCGTGACTCCTACTCGTGTCCGTACGTTCAACAGGGTGGTTGCATGCTGTCGAGAAACATAGCAACATTTCGCCCGTGTACCTCGCTCCGTGCGTTGGTAAATTTTACGATTTTTCGCTCCTCTGTGTACGTTTCACGGAATATTTTCGCTCTCGACGTTACGGCAGCGAAACGGCTGAATATTCTGGTATTCCGAATTGTACAGTTTGCTTTGCTTTCGACACCGTTTTACAAAGGCTGGAATTATAAGCGAAATTATAATGTCTATATACGAAAGATGAGCAAAATCCTCGTCTAGGTAGAAATCTCAAATAACGACTACAAAATGAAAACCATTTCAGCTATTACTCGTCGACTAGGTATCATAATTTTTTGTATAGAGATCTTCGTTTCTTTTTTTTCCATATCGTACATGTTACACGTTCGATTCGCGTCTCGTCGATGTGTTACGAGACGATGATATAAATGGAGTTAAGGCTGTTCGATCGGGGGGGGGGGGGGGATAGTTTTAATTAGTAAAATTCGGTGGGAAGAATGACTCGCATAACAGGTTTTTATGGTTCCGCACCCTTGTACGCCGGCGCCTCCTCGCTAATGCCGCCGCCACCACTACTACTTACACGGAGTCGTACACACGGGAGTCAACCGCGCATAGAATACTGCACGAGCTGCGTGCCTTGACCACAGACAACCGAGCGATCCCGGCCGCCGCCCGAAACCTTCTTTTCTTCTTCTTACCGCCTCCCTGCTTCCTCCTCCCTCTTGCCGATCCGCATCCCTCTGTTGCCCTCTCGTCGCTTACGCCCCCACCATTGTCCTTCTACTCCCCCTTCTGTCCCTCCTCTGGCTTCGGGTTAGTCCGTCAAGAGAAGAGTTCTCCGCTACTCGTACTGTAGAAGGCGCGTTTCCACGCGCGCTGCTGTTGCGTGCACTCGCCGTTACGCTTCTTCCTCCACTTTCGTAACCTCACCCTTCTTCCGTCCTCTCCCTTTCTCCTCCGCCACCTCCGTCAACCCCTTTCCGTTACCGTCATCCCTACCTCTCTCTTCTCGTTCGCGTCTCTCTACTCTCGTTTCGGGACGCAACTGCCGCTGGTGGTCGAGAAATTTTCGCGAGTCCTTCCCTTCGTCCCCCCCGCGTCGCCTCGACCCTTCCTCTCGGCGTCCATCCCCCCGTACCTTCGATTTCCTCTCCCGAACCCGTGTTCCTACTTTTTTCTCGTCGCAATCGGTTCTCCTTCTCCGTCGCGAAGATTCTAAAAAGGAAGGCGGTAGTGGCTCGCTCTCGAGAAAAGGAGAAAGAGAAAGCGGAAGCGCGGGGTGCATAGTCGCGTGTGTGCGCGTCAGAGCTCCGCCGGCGGCGTACTCCTCTCGAGACTTCCATGATCTTCGGAGATCGACCAGTACGTGTTCGGGAAAGGGTGACGGAGGGTAGCAGCAGGCTTGAAATCGAGCCGCGACGCGAGTGTCCGTAGTGCTTGCACCAGCGCCGGTTACGGAGGCGTAACGACGCCTGTTCCATGGCGGCGCAACGTGGCCGGAATCGAATCGAATGTGTTCCACGCGTATACGAATGGATCGATCCCGCTGGTGTGTCAGTTCTCCGTTGTTCGGTGTTCGTTTAGTGTTCGACCGTCTTTCGGACGAAATCAAGATGCTGCTGCGAGCCGCCACGCTGTGAAACGACCCGCGACCATTCTCACGCGATCAGCCACTATCGCGACCTGTTACGTTACACGTGTTGCTCGCACACGTAGACGGCGGCGGTCTCGCCGAGATGATCGATGCCGACCGCGTGGCATTTTTGACTAGTTTCGAGTGTGCAAACCTCCCCGTAATCTAGATCGCTGGATCATCTCTGTTAATACCCGCGATCTGTTCCGTGCGCATCAAGCATGGAACTGGACGTAACGAAGCGATGCCCGTTTCCGCCGGCGATCCAACCGTTCGAATCGATGCTCCGCGCGATACTCTTCCGCCAAAGTTTCGCACGTTGCGACCACCGGCAGTAGCGATGTCCGTATGCATCCTCGCAACGACGTCGCATCGCCGCTCGATTCGGGACATTTCTAGGATCAAGAAGACGTAGACGAAGAGTACGTATACGTAAATATCGTATAACGCGCAGGTCTCGCGTACGCTTGATCGAATTCGAAAAACCCGTCCACGTGTGACCATCGACATTGTTCGTCGGTCCTCCTGCCAGAGCATATCGAATCGAACGAATGATTCTCGGTGCACGTTAAATTCGTTGCAATCGAATATTCCCCCATTTAAACGTTCTGCTTTTAAAATTCAAGAGGCGAAGAAAAGTTTGTTTACGTGCTCGATTGCCCGTTACATCGCGCAAGACAAACGAACGTTTCGCGAGGTGCATTTTTCCGCTCTTTGGCCCATTGTGCACCCACACCCCTTGCCTCTAAAAAAACGTTCGGCCCCCGAGGCGCGCTAGGGAGGATATGGCTCGGAGGAAGAGGTAAGGAACGGAGCGTAGAGGAGAGGAGAGGAGAGGAGGAGAAGGAATGTTCGGGTGGGTGCAGTTACTGCTGATCGTTAAAAGGCGCATAAAAAAAGGTCGTGAGAGAGGGAAGCGAGGAGGCGAGAGGAAGCAGCGCGAGAAGTAACAATAAAAATTCGTGGGCATTCGTGTTTCGTCGCCGAAGTAGGAGCGCGACGTCCAAGGGGGGTGAAGCGGCGGGAGGCGAAAGAGAAGGAGAAGGAGAAGAAGGTGGGAGAGGAGAGGGTCAGGGGTGATCAGGGCGAGGGACGGCGAGGGGGTGCAGTGGCGACGGGCGTCGGTGCAGGCGCAACGGGGGTGGCGGGCGTCGAGGGGCGGAGGGGTCGAGGGTGGCGGTGGAGGATGGGTATGGCGGAGCAGGGTGCGTAATGAAACGATATTGAGTAGCCGTGGTAGGGAGGCTGGTGGCTAAGGGTGGGGGTCGTCTTCAGCCCTCTCCGTCGATTGACCTCGCTTCGACGAGGCGAGGCGGACGAGGAGGGTGAGTCGAAGCGAGGCGAGGCTAGGCAAGCTGCGGAGGAAGGGGCTGGGGGACGAAGTGAGACGGCGGGGGAGGGGGCGAGTGGCACACAGGGGCGGACGCGACAAGAAGGGTGCCTCGGTGGGGGTGAAATGCCGAGCGATCCTACGTGGCCTACCGGGGAAGGGAGGCCAAAGTTAAATTGACGAAAATGACGCGGCACCTTCTTTTTGTCTTTGCCTACCTTTCGACGCCTTGGAACGCCTTCCGAAAAACTTCAAAGCGACATTAGTACTCTCGAGAGCATGACGTAACGAACCGCGGCGAAGAGAACCGGCAGAAGGACGACTTTGTGGTTAACGCGGAATGGCACTCTATCAAACGACCCGATGACGACTCGATGTTCAATGTGAGTTTAATTCGCGCGCGTCGTTTGATATGCTCTACCATTGTTATTGCGCACATTAACGTCTTCGCGCGTCTAGTTTGTCGGATCGGTGTAGCTACGTCAAATGGTTTTTTTTTTACGCATTTATCTTCGACCGGTTCGGACCTGATTTATTTTAACACGTTGGCTGACAAAGTTAAAACTCGTGAAAATTACGCTAATATTATATCTCGAGACTATCGAAGATTAGATAATTTAACATTTGTCGTTGTATAGAATTTTTTAACGTCGCCTAATTTACGAACCCTGTCCAGATTTATTTTCATTATTGCCTCACCTCGGGAATTAATTTTTGTAGTTTCTTAACACGTTGATCGCCATGTCACCCATGTATGGGTATTGGAAGTTAAATGTCAAAGAAAATGAATTTGTACGAAATACTTGAATTTCGGCTAAGTTACAAAAATAAATACCACAATAAACGTGTATAATAATACCACAGTCAACGTGTTAACGAAAAGTTCTGTCATGTATTAACACATTGACTGCTAGAGAAATATTCTTGAAAATTTCTGCTAGAATTAAATATTATTATTCAGACTATTGGAGACTACCTAATCAAACATCCGTCGTGGTATTTATTTGTATAACTTCATCAAAATACACGAATTTCATTTAAATTCATCACCCTTTGAATCTTAACTTTCAGAATTAATTTTTTTACTTCTTCAGTGAAATGCACTGTCACCCACATATGGGTGACGTGGCGTGCAACGTATTAAAGCTGAAAAAGGTATTGCGGCAGAGATCATTTTTGATGTCGACAAATCGTAATAGTAAAATCGCAAATCATTTCTATCGATGCC